TAATCCAATATTTTTTTCATAATTCCTATAAAACCTCTCTCGTGTGGATTATTTTTCTTTAATTCCTTTGTATGTGTGGAGTACATGTGCTGCTGCTGACATCTGGTCCAAATTTAATTTCAGAAGTGTTACAAATAAAGATTTTAACTGTAGATATTTCTCTGAGGTTTGTTTTCTACCAGAATAAGAATCGAAATGCAACACAGTATAGTTCTCACAGGAAATAGTTGGATACTAGTTGAAATTTAAAGAAAAACTGTGACAATTTGCCTGTCATGTAATGTAATTATATCATTACTAGTTAAAATAAGATTAGGAAACCAATCTCAGTGGATGCATTTTTATTTTCAACTAATTGTGTTTGATTGCTTTACTTTATTTGGATAACCACCACAATGTCACACAAAGAAGCCTATCGACAGGTTGCATTGTATGCTTCTTCAGGGGTAATAAAACTTATTGATCCGTTGTGACTACTAACATGTTCTGCAGAGGAGACAAATGACTTGATATGCTGAATGAAGAATATTGTTCCATACTTTCACAACTGAGTCAAGTTTTGATTTGGTAATTATGAGTGGATTTCGTCAGCTGTGACTAACGGTCCTCAGCAGATTTCTGCTCAAGGCCAATTGTTGGGTCATTACTTTCACATTTCAGTGAAAACTACTCAGACTGTTCATTTCCGTCGTACTTCCTACATAAATAATAAAAGAAATTGATTTACCATTAGGTTGCAATGCAAATGTATAAAAAACATACATGCAAATGCTATGTTGGCATTTCTTCATTGCTGCTATTTGTCTGCAGTCAACACTATAGTGACACCGAAGGGAAAACAAACTTTACTTTATTTTGGCTTAGCACATTGTAATTATAGCTGACATTAGCTAATTTACAGCTTCTGTTGCTGGTCCCTCCTGGGTATGTCTTGGCTGTTTCATTCGCTACTGTTGAGCCAGCAGATGAAACAGCCAGTGTGCAGATGTCCTTTGTCTGTGTACTGCTGGGGATTGCTGGTTTCTCAGCTATCATTACAAACAATCTTCTGATGACAGCAAGTGTAAACTACTGTTTAGATGGGGGGGCAACACGTCTAAATATTCTCGATGATATGTGCTCCACATTTTCTTTTCATCCTTTTTTTTTGTCCCTCTGGAGAAGTAATTTATGTGTGAACTGTTTCCAGATGCTGAACATCCCTGTTCCATGATAATAGGGATTTATATCCACAGGGTAATTTGTAGCATGTCTCGGTACTTTTACTATAGAAGAAAGCAAACCCTATCTAGATTGAAAATATATTTGGTTCTTAACATATTTGTCAACAAAAGTCAAATTTTTTTTTGACCTCTTAGATAAAAAGTGGAAGAAAAAAATACAATTTTTTAAAGTTTTTTTTTTTTTTAATAAACAATTTAGAAAGATTTTCATGCATTCGTATTCAGTGCCCCAGAGCCAACACTTTGTAGAAGACCTTTTTCACTGAAACTGTCTTTGTGGCATGTCTCCACTGCCTTTGCTCAAGTCTTCTGCATCATCATTTTTCACACACACACACACGCCCGCACACACCCACACACACACACACACATATATATATATATATATATATATATATATATATATATTATATATATATATATATATATATATATATATATATATATATATATATATATAAATAATAATTCCCTTCTCACCCACCGCGGGTGGTTCTTATCCTCTGAGCTCGGGTCCTCTACCAGAGGCCTGGGAGCTTGAGGGTCCTGCGCAGTATCTTGGCTGTGCCAAGGACTGCACATTTCTGGACTGAGATGTCTGATGTTGTTCCTGGGATCTGTTGTAGCCACTGCTCCAGTTTGGGGTTACTGCCCCGAGGGCCCCGATGACCACAGGCACCACTGTGGTCTTCACCTTCCAGGCCCTCTCCAGTTCTTCCCTGAGGCCCTGGTATTTCTCCAGTTTCTCGTGCTCCTTTTTCCTGATGTTGCAATCACTTGGTATTGCTACATCTACCACAACGGCTTTCCTCTGTTGTTTATCCACTACGACAATGTCTGGTTGGTTCGCCATTACCATTCTGTCTGTCTGGATCTGGAAGTCCCACAGGATCTTAGCTCTGGCGTTCTCCACCACCTTTGGGGGTGTTTTCCACTTTGATCTCGGGGTTTCCAGTCCATATTCTGCACAGATGTTTCTGTACACTATGCCTGACACTTGGTTATGTCGTTCCATGTATATATATATATATATATATATATAATATATATATATATATATATATATATATATATATATATTTGACATTCAAATTGGAAGAGAAAGAAACATATAAGCTATATAATTCTATTCTGACCTCAGATGAGTGGAGAACCTTATTAAAAACCATTCATCCTTCCGTTTTCACTGTAATACTTTATCTCCAAATATTACATAACCTCCCATGAAATCGCAATATTTTTTGTAGTTGCAGCATGAGAAGTTTGGTTACAAACAGCTTTATAAGGCACTGTAGATGAGCTCCATGAAATATACATCTCATGTCAAAGAAAAGAAGATTTCTAGAGCTGATGTGAATATTTAGAAACATTGTGATGGAAAAAAATCTGAGACACATGCTTATATTTTCACTTCATATTAGATGTGAATATAGTTTCTATCTTTTGCTTTCATTTCATTTTTTCTTTTTGTGTTGAAAAAGTCAAAGACACAATTAGAAATAAAGGCAGAAAAGAAGAGAATAATGTTTTGGAAGCAAAGCATGCATCAGGAAGCGAGCTTCCTCTCTGTCCCTTTTGTCTGATGCCCTTGGAGTGCAGCTTTGTGCTCTGAACTCCCATAAGACCTCTCTTTGTTCTCAGAAGATGAGGCCTGACAGAGTGTGACCGTCCACTTACACCTGAAGTCCCCAAAAGCGTAAAGAATAACAGGTACACACAGAACAATGCTCTATTCCTGCTTAGCCGAAATCAGACCAAAAGGCTCCCCAGCAATACGGCACTCTATCAAACAACAAAATAAGTACAAAATAGTGACATAAAAATTGATTCTTCCAGAACATTGATTGGAATTTTATTGAAGGTGATATAAAAGAGAATTAATATATAGCAGCTTTGTCACTGGGATTTGTTTTGGAGATGCAAGTCTCAAAATGTTGAATTATGGGTATAGGCAGTGACAGAAAATCAGTAACAGATTAATCACAGCCTGGTTGACAGACTATAAATTATAAAAGCGTGTTATTTCATTTGCATATCACCTTGGTGAGAAGCCTCTGCTGACAGGTGACATACAATAACATGATTGTCATGTTTATGTGTCAGCTTATTAAGTCCAGTGGAGGGGACATCTTTGTAGATAAGACAGAATATCAGTGTGAAGGCAAGGTGTCCTATATCCTGTGTCCCACATCTCAGTGTCTCTCTCACTCTCAGAGGAGGAAATGCTGAGAAGACAGATGTGGAAGGCAGACAGGAGAAAAGGTTGAAACAGAAGATTTAAATCTAACTTGTTTGATGTGACAGAAAGCAAACTGTCACATCATGTTTGTTCTCATGATTACTGCTCTTTAATTAAATATTCAATTTTCCCATGTTTTTTATTGGAATCTATGTTGTTTATCTTTATACTATTACACTTTGAATGTACATAATGTTCAAACTTTGCAACTCATAGCAATAATTTATGTTGTCTATCTATCTATCTATCTATCTATCTATCTATCTATCTATCTATCTATCTATCTATCTATCTATCTATCTATCTATCTATCTATCTATCTATCTATCTATCTATCTATCTATCTATCTATCTATCTATCTATCTATCTATCTATCTATCTATCTATCTATCTATCTATTTGACGATGTCTGACGATTGAACAAATAATTTTATGTTTATTAGGAAACTTTGACTTATAAATGTGAATAAATGAGGTGAAAAACACTAACCTTGATAAAAAGGCACCATACCTAAAAATGTCTTACTCTATTTCCCTTTCTCTTTCTGTCTCTCTTTCTCTTTCTCATGCTCTCAAAAGAATCATGCAACAATGAAACACAACAAAGCATACATTTCCGAAGTCCAACAAATTGACAACAACATAACAAAAACAATAAAAATAATGATTAAATTTGACCACTTTCAAAACAAAAACAATAACTTAAATATAATACAAATCCCTTGCTTTGAATTCTGTCTGTATACCACTTTTTTTTTTTTAATAAAACTGCTTCCTTTTTTGTTTCTCAATTTGGCACCAAGCCCTATAACCTAAACCTCGTTGTTTCTATCTTTCATCCCATCCATTCCCCCCTCGCTCTCTTTGTTTATCTGCCACTCTCTATAAACTCACTCCATTTCTGTGCTGGATCAGTGAAAGCTGGGTCTCAAACAGCTGAGCCAAAGCGACACACAGACAGGGAGAGCTGTCGGGTGGAGGGCGGGGAGAGGGACAGAAGGCGTGCGGGAGTCGCGGTCGCATGGTCGAGTGCTGGACTTTGGCACTGGCCGTCCATCTGTCACTTTCTTCCACCCTCTCTGTGGCACTGACGGGTCGTGGCGACGGCAGCCAGTGACGGATGACTAATCTTCTGCTGGTGATGAATGAGACACCTCCCTCGGAATGGCAAAAAAACAAAAACAAAAAAACAAACAAAAAAACGTTGCATGTGTGAAGGGTCCAGCTGTGAATGGGATGGGATTTCTTATGTAATGCCAGTACCAAGCAAATACATTGACCACTTTCATGCATGCTGATTCACAAGGTAGGACGAGCACTCACAGGTTTAGCAGATATGAGACTGTCAGGGTTCGTTTTGACGGAAACACGTGACGAGCAGGTGGAATGGAGAAAAGGACACTTTCGTTATGAGAGGCGACGATGGTGATGCGCTGCTCATTTCGTTTGACTGTCTGCCTCCAGTCAATCCGTCTTTGACTCAGTGCGCTGAGCGTCTCAGACGTGTCTTGTATTCAGCTCATAATGCGCAGGCGTGATCCTATCAGAGCCCCGCAGAAAAAAAAAGAAGAAAAAAAGCTGCAACCATCCAGAACTAGACGTCGTGTGTGTTGTTCCTCGTGTGGCGCTCAAATGAAAGCTGAAACATCCATTTTGCTCGTCGACTTAAGAGACTGTGTGAGGGGAATGAAGATTTCCTTTCTCGGCAAACCTTTTGGGCAACACAGTCCAACCTGTGGATAGTACACAGAGCGCGTCTGTCCAGTCCCCGCGATCTGGGACGCTCTGCTTTCCCTAACGCTTGCTAAGCGCGTCCTTTCTTTTTCCACCGTTGGCGGCTCGGGGTGGGATCTGCGGTTCGAGCTGAGCCTTGTGCAGGTATTCAGTTTATGAATGGCACTAACATGGAGGAAATACCGTTTCAGAAAGTCAAAACCAGGCGGAAGAGAAGTCACTGTCCACCGGGTGTCCCCCTGACCACCATCGCCTGCGAGGATGAGTTCGACTGCAAGGAGCTGGAGTCTCTCTTCCAGAACTACAACCTGAAACTGGAGCAGACGTCCACGCTCAAAGCACTGGCTGTCCTCATCTTCACGTCCGCGACGCTGGCTTTAGTGGAGCTGCTGTCCGGTTCGAGCCTCACCATCTCCAAAGTGTCCCATCCGGTCCACTGTGTCATCTTCCTCTCCCTCTTCATTGTAACTAACGTCAAGTACCTGCAAGTGACTCAGCTCCAGCAGATCGTTAACCTGACACTTCTCTTCAGCTTCACGTTTTCCTTCCTCTGCTGCCCCTTCTCCCTGGGCGCCATGGGACTGGAGCCCCCGACGTCCCCGGAGCAGGGCGTGTGGCAGCTCATCCTGGTCACCTTCGTCGCCTACGCGCTCCTGCCGGTGAGGACGCTCCTGGCCGTCGTGTTTGGAGTAATGGTCTCCATCTCCCATCTGATTGTGACTGCCACTTCTGTCACGGTGAAAACTCAAAAACTGTGGAGAACGGTGAGGATACGTTCACTCACATTTTGATGTGTGTGTACGTTTGTTTATTTATTTTTTTATTGTTATTGTTATGATTGTTTGAAGTATGCTGTCACTATACTTCATACCAACAGTTATACCGGGCGCAGGCACAGTTTGGATGTCAGTTCAGCACCGAGGACAGCTCCCTCTCGGGAGGCCTGATAGGCTTTGTTTAAATCTGACCCAAAACAGGCCACAAATAAAACATTACCTGTAAGCAGTCCAACTCAACACATAATTTATTGTCAGAACATCTGATTATCAAACAGACATACACATTGTGATAAAAAAAAACCACACAATTAATTAAGAAATAATATGCATATCATAATCCCATGTATTCCTGCAAAAGATGAATACCAGTCTATACAAAATAAATTATATATAAATAGTTATTGGTTTATCATAATAACCAATAATAATATATATCTTTTTACTTTAAAGTACATGACTGCCCATGGAGTTGAAATATTCTTCTTCTCAGGCTTATTCCTGGATTGATCTTAGTTTAACTTGTCATAGTGACATGGTTTAGATATCTTACAGTATTTGCATAAAGTTTTGAGAAGTTATACATTTTATCTTGCAGAATAAATCACTGACATAGTCCTTTTATGTCAAGAGATGAAAAAATATTTTCTTTGCATCAGTGTATGTTGAAAGTACTGCAAATCATTCCCCAAAGTAAGCAATAAGGGTAATCCATTGACTTCCTGTGTAATTTATGTCATTGTTCTTGTTCTTGTATTGTTCTTGACACTTCAAAACATCCTGTCAGAAATGAAAGTAATACTGTAGGCTCTGACCCCTGTGATACCTTCAAGGTATAACCTCATCCCAAATAACCACCTGAATCAATTATGTCTTGTCAAAGGGAATAAGTGCTGTGAACCTGAAGGTAATTCCTTGAAAGAGGGTGAACACTGATGTAGTAGATTTAGCTTAAAAAACACAAATGAATTATACCAGTCTAAGAGGTTAATTTGATAAGAACATTTTTTTTTTATTTCGTCACAAAAACAAAACCCAAGCTTTTGTTTTTGGAGTCCAAAAAAAAATTCAATTCAAACACTTGACCCAAAACCCTCTAAAATAGAGAAATAAATGTGATAGGTTAAAATAAGAAGTGGCATTTTGTAAGTATATTCATTCTATTTCAATAAAAATGAAAACGTTTTCTAATACAACGTTTGATAGAGCTTTGAGATTGTCAAACACTTTTCCAAGTTTTAAGTCCAGGCCAGAAAACAGAGGAGACTGGGGCTTGGTGGTTGTAGTGGAATCTGCCCATGAATACAATAAGTTCTGCTCAGGTATATGAGGAATTAAATAATCTTGAAGCTCAAATCTATGGGTTCTTGCTTTGGTTGAATATAATGCATTGGCTTTTATTGATTTTTTTTATACATGCATCATCTACTGATTGACTTTTCACACTTTTTCCCCATTTACACATATGACTAAGTGAAAGGAAACAAAAGCCAACAAGTGTGCTTTCTGTTACAACTGAACCAGCATGGAAACCACTGTCCCTTTGGTTTCTGTTCCAAAGGGACTTGGATTTTAATTTAGAACTAAGTGACACCCTTCCAAAACCAGAAGTAGGCCAACGTAGAGAGCCACAGACATGAACCACTTGAACCACATGTATTAGTTGTAGAAAATAGGACAAAGTCATCTCAGTTATACCCTGTGGATCTCGGTATTTCTGTTTACATTCACATCTGACTGTCATTTGGTGCCTTGGAGGAAAATCCATCACACCAGTTACAACCTTTCAGACATATTGGAACATTTAAGCCTTCATATCACTTATGATATGAGTATTTTACTGTTCTTACAGCAGCTAAGAACTGAGATTCAGTCAGCTCTTCACATCATCTGCCATGAGGGCATACTTGAAGAAGAAATTGTTTTTTTCTGTATGGTACCTAAGAGATACCTGTGTAGCGCAGTGAAGGACAGTGATAGCAAAGCATCCACAGATAGCTAATCCATTAAGCTCAGAGATGAGCTGTGTAGCATGACCCTGCACGTCTCAGGTTTGGACCAACCACCCACTACAGGTCTCAGTTATTCAGCCTATGCTTCTTTCTTTCAGCAGACACTTTGTGTCTTATTACTGAAATTTGTATGAAATTTAACTAGTTCCCTTTTATTCAACTTTAGGTCTCCATGTCAAACTTAGATCAATGTAACAAATATACAAATTAACATATTGTTTTATATTTTAAAACAGGAAAGACTTGACAAATCAAGTCTTTGTCCTTGACTTTATTACAATTTCAAAGTGCAAGACTTTTCATAACCTTAATTTCAAAATATTAAGGTTATGAAAATATTCATAGGAACAAATCGATTTTTCTAACTTTGACTAATTGAGCTTTGTTAATGTTTCTTTTTACGTTGTCAATGATCACAATGTTGTTGCTGATATATTCTACCTCTGCAAAGCACAACAAATGACATAATTCAGATTAAGTCAACCTAGTATGTCACAGTTTATTGCTTTTTCATTTATTAAGATGAGGGGAGAAGTCAGTAGCTAACTGCTGCAAGAATGTCACTTGTAACCAAATTAACACAACAAATAGGAAGATCACAACAGGGAAGAAAAAATAACACATGCATAAATTATTTTATTTATTTCCCTGGGCACCTAATTACTGTCAACAGTGAAAGTGTTCTGTGCACATTTTGGAGGTCTGTATTTTGTTCATAAAGTCAGCTTCAGCTAGCCCTAGTCAGGTAACAGAAGTTGTGTCCTGTACAAGGTTAAAAGGAGTCACACAGCTGCAGCCTCTGTGGTGATGGATGATCAGAGCAAGGGGTCACCAGTGATTAAATTCCACAACTACATAAAATGAAGAAATAGGCTACATCTATTTTTGACCTTTTGGTAGCATGCAATCTTCTTCTGTTGTATTTAAATTTGAAAATAAAAGCAGTGATACATATTTCAAAAGAAGAAATAATCAGCAAAAAACTATTAATTGTTTGCAGGGGCGCCACTAGGACTCTTGGGCCCCATGATAAAAAATTTAATTGCCCCCACCCAACCCTCCTACCCCCATCCTGCTGTTACAGTTTTTTGAGTCTATCTGACTCATCAAAAGCATCACAATTTTAAAGTCTTGCAACTGCCTTGCTTTCTGTGGTTCAATACTGATACTAGACAGTATTTACTGCTTATTAATCTAATATCCAACCGTTCGCATATATGATGCAAGTAGGTTGCTTAAATTCTTTCTATTTGTTTTAGCTTACTGAAATGTCTCTCCCCACCAGCAACAGTGATAGCAATGTGCAAAATATACATGAAGCAATCCAGGCTTCTAAAAAAAAGAAATATAGCTGCATTTTATTCAAGCTGCAGAATAATAAAATATATGTTTTCTCCATATTTGTTAAAACTGTCACCATGTTGTGCCAGTTTGATGTGAGACACATAATCTGTGAAAACAATCAATCTCCTCTACCTTTTTTAAAAATTATTATTTCTATGACCAAAAGAGAAAAAAAAATTTGTGGAGGGCCCTCTGTCGGTCAGGGGCCCTTGGAATTGTCATAACTTTCCCCCTATATGGCGCCAGTGGTTGTTTGTACCACGCTTGTTTACAAGTGTTGGCTGCACATTCAACTGGCACTCAATGTGTCAGGGTTTTAAAGTGTGAGTATGAGTTACAACATTTAATGTCGCTTTGAGATTAATACCATCTATGTTAGCATAAACAGAGCAAGCGGATATTTATTTAATCTGTTTTCATTTTGCCCTACTCAATTTCAGCAATTATTTACCCCCCCCCCCAAAAAAAAAAAAAAAAAAAAAAAAAAAATATATATATATATATATATATATATATATATATATATATATTTTTTTTTTTTTTATTTTCACAGCTGGTTGCAAACACGGTGCTGTTCACTAGTGTCAACCTGTCAGGGCTGTTTGTTCGCATCCTGACTGAGCGAGCCCAGAGAAAAGCCTTCCTTCAGGCCCGCAACTGCATTGAAGAACGGCTCCGAATGGAAGACGAGAACGAGAAACAGGTAAATGCATCTGTGCTGTGAGTCAAGCCTGGGCTCAAATCAAGATGTACATCATATATTCCTGTGATTTCTATCTAGAGCTTATTCCAGAGAACACATTTATTCATAGTAATAATGTTTCTGCATTGCACTATATACATGAAAAGTGCTTCATATTCTCCCTCCACCTCCACCCCTTTGCCTCCCCCCCCCTTTTTTTTAACAAATGCATGCACTCAGGAGCGCCTGCTAATGAGTCTGTTGCCCAGGAACGTAGCTATGGAGATGAAAGAGGATTTCCTGAAGCCCCCTGAAAGGATCTTTCACAAAATCTACATCCAGCGTCATGACAATGTCAGGTAGGACCTGATCATGCAGCATCGCTGTTGAACAGCACAGCTGTGCACCAACTAATTCACCACAAGCTGAATTAGCTGTGGACGCTAACAGAAATATTCTTGCGTGCTATTATTTCATCTTATATCTTAGAGTGCCATTAACTATACATTAACTGGCATCGTTAATACTCATCCTGTGAATTTGATTAGATTGATCAGAATATCCACCTCATAAAACTTTACCGCTGTACATTTTGGGGGGGCAATCAAGCTTTCTATGTAAAATCAACAACACAGTGGAACATTCTACCAGAAGATGTGAGAAGATTTCGCTCTTTTAGATCCTTTCACAAGTTTGTTAGATATTACTCAGAGTCACTGTCATTGAACAGAATGTTTTAAAACTAAAGTGTGGTGTTGTGGGTTTAGAGTTGTGTAGAAAACATGCATGCGGTATGCTACGATGTTGCTGAATTGTGTCTACTTGGTTTATTTTACTGATTATTCAGTCTTAATTCTTAACTGTTCTTAATCTTTTTCTTATCATGATGTGTCAGGGCATTCTGGGTGGAAATTCCTGTTAAGCTGTAACCTGTACATCACTTGGTAGGATATCTACTTAAAATGTGCATTCTCCTTTTTTAGTACACACATTCTTAATGGTGATTTTTGAAACTATAAATTTGCCTAGATTTTGCTGAAGAAATAAAAGTTTCTTTTGCAAGGCTTCCACTTTCAAAAGCCTCTAAAATTATAGCACAGTCTGCAAAATGATCTGATCAGTCATGTGACGATGAGAGATGAGAGTCCATTGCAATTATTATTGTTGTTATTTTTCTGCGGCTGCCTGGATAGAAACAGCATTTTAATGCATCACAAAACCATGATGTGATTCTCCAGAAACATTAACGTTGCGACATAATGGGTTCTAACTAGCACACACTATTATCTTGGAGTGATTCAACAGTTTTTTTGTTTAGTGATTTCAAAGTTGCAAATGATCGACTCCACTTGATTTATTTGTTCAATCTTTTGCCTCTAAATTAATTTCTCAGACCAAATAAAATCAAATAATCTCAAAATGTGCATCCAGTGCAGGACTTTGTTACAATCATCTACTTTAGTTTTCTTATGAGGTTCTGCTGTTCTGTCAATTGTGTTGGACCTTTAACTTTTTGTCAGATGAAGAGCTAAAAGTAAATTTCATGCAGGAAGATACACTTTCTCTATCCTCCTTCCACTTTTTCGCTCTGCTCCTCTGACTTCATTGTCAAATCTGCCCTTTCAGCTCCAGCATTTCATTGTTTTGTCTTGTCTTATCTTCAGCTCTTCCTCCTTCCTTTCTTCTGTGCTCTCAGAGTAGCAGCAGGGAGGCTTGAGGAGGAGAATTTGCTTAGCCCTGGGATTAAGTTGCTACAGGGGATTAAATGCAATGGAGACTAGATTCTTGTTGCATAACTCTCTTGGTATGTGTACGTGTGCTCATGGGTGCTCACACTGGTTAAATACAGAAAGACTTTGTTGGAGAACAGCTGATTGCTTTTTGCCTGGAACTCCATTGAAGCCAGCTTTTAGGGGTGACATACAAAGGGGAGGACTTGATTTGGGGTGGTCTTTTATTTCTAACTAGATTCTATGTTTCTTCCTTTTGTGACAAGACTATTTGAGAGCTTTCTGTACATGAATATAAGTGGTAAAATATGTTTCCATTTATATATATAAAAAAGTAAAACATGACACATCTTATCAATTGAAAAAACAAAACAAAACAAACAAACAAACAAAAAACTAGTAGTTGCCATCCAAAATAGTGTAGCCAATTATGCTTTTTGTCTGTCACATCTAACAAATCAATTTACTCTAATGAAATGACAAGACAAACTAGTTCTAGCCTGTTCTTGTAAAGACATTTGTTCAGTTAGCTTTACTTATAATCATCTAAATTAAAAGGTTCTCATCACTTTTTGTCTTACTGTAACTTTCACATCAAATCTACCATTCATCCTGCCCATTTTACAAAAGTAATACACCCAAATATAGCCTTGATACAGATTAATACATGACCACATTCATATCAAGTTTTGAGTGACTAAGATGCATAAGCCCCCAGGCCCCCCCAAAAAACAATAACATAGCATTGCATTCACTTCATTGTTTTATATAAAATAGTTCTTGAAAATAAATTTGCAAAAAAAAAAAACAGTTTACTGCACTGAGTGGGTTTACTTTGAAATGAAATCAAACCAATTAAAAATAAACTATCAGAGTCACTGACTGGCAGTTCGTTAATCATACAAGCCCACTCAGAAAAAAAAAGAGAGCATGTTATATAGTCAAATTTTGTTGCAAACATATTGCGCTTTTATTAACTTGCCGTCAGCACATCCTCTGCCCACACTGTATCTCCAGAGGGGCCCATCCAGCACTAACCCCGAAGCCGGCTCCATGCTCGTATCTTTGACTGTGTGATTAAATTGACATCACATCTGCCAGAGCAGCTACAGTGATGCCTCCTGGAGCGGGAAAGAAGATATTTGCATAATTGGGCAAATAACTCTTCAAATAAGTGCCACTGGAGAGGAAATGATGAATGAATTTGAGTGTGTGTCACTGTGTGTGTTTGGTCGTGGTGGCGGCACAGTTTGTCAGACGATATCAGGTGTAACATTCTAATCACCACAGGATTAATGCACAGGATGATCTTTGCAATTTGTGGTTGATTAAGGTCCAGTTTGGCACCGTGTAGCAGTAAATCATTCAACTCATAACAATGCATATAGATGAACTTTTGACAGTTAAATCTTGAACTATTTTGGCTCCATATACAATTTTAGAATCCCTACTATTCGTTCATGTAATCTGATTCTTGTTCTTATTATGTGCCTTACATTTTCTATAGCAAAGAAACTTAGAATGCAAGCGGAGCAGCCAAGTAAACACATTGCAGTTCTATGCTGGAAGCTGTACTGAATGAACTCTTGCATTGTCTTACAGGAGTAACTATGAACCTCCTGGGAAAAGTCATCACCTTGTCTGTAGCAGGAGTTTCTTTAGAATTCCAATTGGCACTCCAATGCTACAGTACCACAACATGCAAGTCACATATACAGTGTCTCATTTTATTCACCTCTCTTAAAATATCATAATACTGTGATATCATTTTCTACAAATGATGTGACTTTTGTCTTGTATAGTTTAACTGAAACTATACAAGTTTAGTTTCAGTTAAACTAAAGTGTTTAACTTCTAACATTTGTTAGAAGGAAAAATGTGAGCCAACTTTTACAGCAGTATAGTTTTTTTCAAAGCACACTGTGACTCAGTTCCAACATCCAGTGTTCTTTGGTAGGAGTCTGTCAGCTCTGACATCTCAACTCAGTGATTTGCTCCATCTATCTTGCAAAAGTTGTCTAGATACACTAGACTCAGAGGATGCCTCATGTCCAAAGCCCTCTTCAAATGGCTTCCAGGGATTATCTGTCAAATTTAGTTCAGACAAGGCTATTCCAATATGTTATTTTTCCTCTCAAGTCATTCTTTTGTTGCTTTTACTGTATTTTTTGACTGAACTCACTTTGATCCCGTAGAATGAATTTCAACTCCATGTTCATTTTTCTATCAGACACTTGGAGGATCGAGTTTAAATAGACTAGTGTTTGGAAATGTTCATGGTGCCATCCACCTTGCCAAAAATCAAAGTTCCACCTGAGAAAAGTAATACCAGAACATCATGCCACCACCATGTCTTATTATGACTATGGTTTTCTTTTGGTGATGTGCACTGTTAATGAGCTAAACGGACAATTACAATTTTCAGATCAAACATTTAATTTTGGTGTCAATAGAGCTATTTCTGACAGCTGTTTTTAATACAGTTGCTTGGTCATTGTTGAATTATTTTTCATATAGTGTCAACAACTGATTGAGTCTAACCATAATTTTAGTGAGGTCTCTTTAGTCTTAATTTTTTATTTTTTTTGGAGTCACTTAGAACTGTCAGAATCTCTTCACAAGTGTGATAGATTTTTGCATCTATCACTCTTGTGCATTTTTGCACATTTTCTTATTTCATATTATCTGTGAACTGATTAACAATTCTTTGGGAAAATTTGACTAAAATGTATGCACTCATTTTATAACTAACATTGACACCTTAGTTGCAGCTAATTAATCAGTTAGCCACTAACAGTTTAGTCTTTTTTATGCTACTGTTGTGTCAAAAAATATTATGCAATGAAAAACAAATTATTATTCATTTATTTTAAAGGCTGTAATTTTTTACCTTGTAACCTTCTGGCTTATGAGCAATTATATTGAACATAACATAACATGATTTTTCTTTCAACAATCTTACTTGGGAAAAGATAAAACTCTTTGGGGAAGAAAATCCTTTGGGGTTTTAGTTTAAATTTCTCACTCAGGGGTCTGATAAGACTGAAAATTTAGTCTTATTCTGGATGAGCAGGAAAGTGCATTCAAAAAGCATTCAAAAAGTGCATAATCTGTGCAAGACATTTGTTTTAATGAACAATGTGACAAATTTACAAAAGAACTATTTTCTGGGTGGAATATATAAGTTCTGACATTTCAGGGCAGCTTCTGGTAACAGCAGTATGTCTTATAATATTTAAGCAACATTAAAATGGATTACTGTTGCAGATGTTGAACAGAGAAATCTATTTTTCACTGCATTTTATTTTTACCACTAAAAAATGGTTAGTCTTAATCCAGATTAGACTTGAGCTTTGGTATGGTAAATATATACTGTACTTTAGTTGGGGCTGCAACTAAAGTGCCATTGCACAGTAGGTAGCACTGTTGCCTTGCAGCAAGAAGGTCCTATGGTCTTTCTCCATGGAGTTTGCATGTTCTCCCTGTGCATGCATGGGTTCTCTCTGGGTACTCTGGCTTCCTCCCACAGTCCAAAACCATGACTGTCAGGTTAATTTTTCTCTCTAAATTCTCCCTAGGTGATTGTGTGTGTGTGCCTGGTTGTTTGTCCTGTCTGTCTCTGTGTCCAGGGTGTACCCTGCCTCTCGCCTGAAACATTCGCTGGAGATACGTACTAGCACCGCTCCCAAACCTACTAGGGTCAAGGGTGTAAGAAAATGAATGGATGGATGTATTTTAGTTCTGTAAACACTTAATGCACATACTTAATATAGAGCTTCTAAAATAAAATAAAAACACACTACAAGAAGATTTTGTGATAATCCTGACTTTATTTTATGCGTTGGTTAGCCTCTGTTTGGAGAGAGAAAGAAACTCAACATTAGACGCATAGGAAGTTGGATTATTCCATCTCTTTCTGAGTCAATGACTATATAACTCAAAGCATACCACACATCATTTATTACTTTACTTGATAATTGACTATATCTCAAATAGCTTCCTACTAATTTCAAAGTTGCTTGGACTTCGTTCAGAATTACGAATCTAAGAAGGATCTCATCAAACGGATTGTTTCTTTCTGTGAGAAGACATTTGTTTGAATTGCCTCAAGTTCTTGGCCTGTACGTTATACCTTTCCTCTTTTATTTAAAAGTGTGCTTCCTGCTTTGATTCCTGTCTGGTATCTATTAGTGTTTATGTTGCAACTGTAATCACTGACCCTTGGCTTTTTTTTCTAGCAGCAGGGATCTACTGTTACTTTGACTACTTCACATAAATCTCACCAAGAAACAACAGCAACAAAAAATACATAAATATTTTTATGTATTTTGTTTTCATTAGTCATGAAAAGATTTTCCCTTTTGCAGATTTCTTCTTTGATTGTGTTTTGTTCTTAAATGTTTCAGATTATCAAAAAAAATCTATCAGACACAAATAACCTGAAATAATGGAAAGAAGCCATTTTAAACTTAGGATTTAATTAAATCACAAAAAAGGTTTTCCCAAAAACTTGAATTGAGGTAAAATATAATTACTCTCTTTGTGAAATTATTATTAACTTTAATTAACCCTCTCCAGGCAGGTGTTGCAGATTTGCAACAACTTAGCCTGTCTTTTCAAGTAATTTGAGCCTGAGAGGGTTAACCATGCAGTTTTTTTGTTCCACTACTTGTAACCAGCCTTGATTATTTTCAGACCTGTGGAATCCATGAATCACTAAAGTACAACCTATTTGGACTGAAAATACAAAGTTGTCAAAGAGAGGCCATGATGAAAAAGAAAGCAGAGATGAACTGAAAAACAAAGTCAATGACTTATATCAATTAGGAAAGGATTGCAAAATAATTTCTAAGCCTTTGGGACTTTGCCAAACCACAGCGAGAGCCATTATCCACAAATGGAGAAAAATATTGAATATACATATTCAATATGTAAAGCTTCCTGGAAGCTTTACTTCTTGGTAAAGCTTCCAAGAAGTGGGTGCCTCATAAAAATTACACCAAGATTGCATCAACAACTAACTCAGGTAACGAAAAATAAAATAAAATAAAATAAATAGAATTGAGAACATCATAACTTACTTGCCTCAGTTGTTGCTTTTCTTTATTTGAAAGTAAGAAAAAGACTGGAGAAAAAACTGCATTGTGTGAACACTTCCCCGGCCTGCCAGTCCAGAGGAACTGCCTCCAATGTCCATGAAATATTGCAGTGGTGTTAACACAACTCTACAACATCAACACCATAACCTCATTGCAGAATTGCAATGACGTTGGCCCAAAGTGTTTACAGAAATATGGTATTTAATACGCTACATTTTTAACAGCCACAGATGGTTGTTGGATAAACTATTTAACACACACTGAATCCACTGCCCCTCATTATGGTGACATCTGTGAGACAACAAAGTGACATTTAGCAGCTCTCTCTCAGAGATCCAGCACTCTGTCATGCTGCGAAATCTCAAGCCCACATGAAGGTAACAGTCAGCAATCAGTACAAGAGCTGCAGACGTGTAAGTTGTTTGGGACAGTTTTATGACTAATCCCCTTCACACCACCAACTAGCACACAGTACTCAGGCCCAATCCTTTAGAAACTTTCTCCTTTGCCTTGTTACAAAACAAGAGGAATAAATGAGGACAGCACAGTTTTTGGGTCAAGGAACAAATTGGATGTCTTAACCGTTCCAGAATTTTCAGCTTGTGATTTTGCTCAGACGTAAAGATGATTTGATTTCGAGAGCGGCTTGGGTTTTACTTTTTATGTGGTGCTCTGACATTTATTTCAATGAAACTTGTAATTTAAGAGGATACAATGGAAAATGTGTCCTCCAGCATATTGTAGCGGACAGTTTTAGAGCATCATTTAACATCTGAAGGGAGGTGGATTTGTTTTCTGACATACTATACCATTATTAATTAAATGGATTTGAATGAACTTTAAAAAAAGACCGTAATGATACATTCAGCTTAAAAAGGAGACAATGGATAATACTTGGTTAAGTAGAAGAAGATGGAAGATTTAAGTGTACTTTTAAGAAAACTAAGAATCATAATTTTATGAATAGCAAAAGACTGTTACAAATTGTTTGAGGAAAAATACTGGGATTAATCAATAATAATTCAGTCAAAGGCCCAACATCATTTATAACCCTGAAAATTTTGGATTTAAAAATGCTTTCATAAAGCCAAAAATATTTGTATCTAGTTAATAAAACAAAAAATATATGAAACAGACATGCTCTCATCAATGTTAAATGACAAAAGGAGAAATGTTTGATTGCAGTACAGCAATTGAAAATTTTTTCTATTTCCTGTTTATCTTTTCTGACTAGTTCCAGGTGTTGAGTTATAAAGTCAAAACATGCCATCGCCATACCATCAGCATAGTTTTTAAAGTTTTAGGACATCATTCCTTGGTTGAAACGCTGCATCATCCACAACAGCTGAAGGAAGATGTTTAGCTCTAAAACAGGCAGCGTGTTTATTATAGAACTTGTCCTGTCTGACTTTTCACTGACAGGATTGTTAAAGAAAAAATATGAAATGAAAAAACTGTTTTTTTCCCATCTAACTTTTTCATTTGGTGTGCTGTTCAGTGGGCTGTGTGTAGATGATCCAGAAGGATCTATTTTCTGCCAGCAAGAGAAACCCGTGCAGCGGAATGGTTGATTTGTCCTCTGTAAGAGCTTGCTTGAAGGTGGCAATAAATAATGAACAAATCTTGGAACTTTTATTATGGAGGCATGCTGTAGAGAGAACATCCTGCATGTTGTAGGTCAGGTCACCATGACTTCAATGCTTTGACATTGGGTATAAAAGCTCAAATTATGTAACATTAACTCCCAAAAAATTCAATTTGCACAATTTTTTGAATTATACTGTCAGTGGAACAAAAGATCACTTTGTGCTACATTTGTCATTTGATTGTGGACTTTGATTCTTCTTTTTCACATAGCCTTTTCCTAAGTCAGCCTCAGTCTTATATGCAGCCTGCTAAGATTGAAAATAAAGTTCCGTTGAAAACAGCGACAGCCCCCTTACTGTTGCACGGTGTCTTAGAATGGCTATGCTGCAGCTCCTAACAGCCCATGTCTCAGATCCCCATGAGATGCTCCTGCTGCTTTTTTTAATTTGCTATGCTTGACTGCATGTGCTGCCTGTCAGTTGGAGAATGAAACTGATTCTGTCTTCTTTCTTTTCATTCTTTTCCATTTCGTCGAAGGTTATACGTGTGTGTGGATGTTGGTGTCTTATTTTCTGATCCACATGCATATTTCAAAATTGTGTTATTTCTGTCAATAACAGCGATTGGTTTATTTAAGACTGTATGATCCTGTTATAAATAATCAATATTGACTTCATTTGTCCCTCTCTTCCTCTGTTGCAGCATTCTTTTTGCAGACATAGTTGGTTTCACCAGCCTGGCCTCTCAGTGCACAGCTCAGGAACTGGTTAAGCTGCTAAATGAGCTGTTTGGAAAGTTTGATGAGCTTGCCACGGTGAGTCTGTCTCCCTTCCTTGAAGCCATATTCCCTCAATTATAGTCACTGTTGGCATTCAAAGCAACACTCCTTGTGCAAAGAGGGCTTTGTCCAAATTCTGACACAGCAATGACTGGATGTGTGTGTGTGTGTGTGTGTGTGTGTGTGTGTGTGTGTGTGTGTGTGTGTGTGTGTGTGTGCGTGTGTGTGTGCATAAATGTGAGCTTGTGGATCTCTTTGGCCACAGGCTATTGGCACGCTCCTGTAGCTTAGCATGATGTCACAGTGAATATTGGAAGCCCATATGATGCCTAATATGATTATCCAGTGCTTCATTTGAGGAAGAGTTGACAGACCTCTTTAATCTCAGCCAGATTTACCCGTGGGTAAAGCTCGCCTCCTCTCTTGTTGTGTGAATGAACTGAATAGAGCGGATAGCAGGGGAGATTGAGTTATACTCATCTCTAGTTGCTCTTGTTATGAACGAGGAAAAGATTTTAGCAATCCATCTGTTAATATTTTGCTTTGTGGGTTATGGGTAAGGGTTGACAACCTATCTGACCATTTCATTTTTAAAACAAAAAAATTATGCTGCTCATATTAATTTGTTTTCCACTGTAGCCCATTTAATAGAATAGCACAGAGACATTCATAATTAGAATTTTTGGTTTTTGAGATGTGGATTTGGCTGAGATAGCCTCCATGTGATTTCATAACCTGCAGTTCACATGGCCTTGTCAAATCCATTAATCTGCAGGATTGCAGCAAACCTTTTTTTTTTTTTTTTTGCTTTTACAGAAGGGTTTTCTTTGGCCCTGTTGGGAGCTTCTATTTTTAACTTGCTTGTTCATAGGTACAAATTTAGGACAAGTTAAAGAAAGACAGGAGTTTGATGGTCAGTTATTACTGTCATTATTTTTGTAATACATTGTGAATAAGTTGTTTCAGGGTTGTAGCTATTTGCTGACTCTTTGGGGTCCTTAAAGACAATTTGATTTACCTCTATTTTGGATTCTTCCTGCTGCAGTTTTTTAGCTTTAGAGTAATTTTTTATGCTTTCATTTTTAAAACTAAAACAAGGCAGTTGCATCTTTAGATTTAGATTTTTAAGCTGTTTTGATACGACTAGTTGCACAGTTGAATAGCTGGCTGTATCCAGGACTTGGCAGCTAGCTTATAGCGTTATAGTGCCCTGAAAGGCTTGTCCCCAGCTATTAAACTTGCCCTGACCCAAAGCCACAGTCATTCTTATCCACTTTGGCAGGAAGTGGCAATGCCAGTGACTCATAGCCGTGGTCACTTTGGGCATGCAAACTCTTTTTCGTCCCATACGAAGAGCGGGCGATGCCACATGGCCACTGGGCATCATCTCATGGTACTATTCCAGCACCATCCCCACACCACCTGTCCACTCTTTGGACTTGTCAAGCTGCATGGGAAGCTGGCCAGGAACACAGTGTTCTCCTGTAGTGCTGGTGATGTAGCAGACCAAGTCTGCTCTTCTCCTCTCTCTCTAAATGTTTTAACATGAATGAATCTAAGCTAGGCATTATCTGAATGCTTGCCCTGAGTCCAACCTCAGCATCACTCCCCCTATAAACAACGATGGTCAGTAAATGTCTTACTTCCCTTTTCCCAAAATTGACATAATCTCCACATCATAGCTTGATAAATATATATATATATATATATATATATATATATATATATATATATATATATATATATATATATATATATATATATATATATATATATATTTGATTCAGAAAGACTTAACACCTTTTTTTACCTTCCTGACACAGGGAGAAAATACAAACATTGCTGTCTTAACAAATAATTCTATTTCCTTCCAAATTCACATCGCATGTCAGAAAAGTGACACACAAAGCTTCATTAGCTTGTATTTAGACACGTTTTCCTGCCACAAGAGTGTACAGGTTCATTACTGACACCTCTTCAGGCTCTGATGTTGTCTCTGCCAGCTCTTAACTAATTAGGACTGAATGCACCACGCGTAAATTTCTCCTTCAATCCAAGAAACATTTCCATGTTTCTCACTTGTTTTAACCCTCTCAGGCTCAAATTACTTGAAAAGACAGGCTAAGTTGTTTCAAATCTGCAACACCTGCCTGGAGAGGGTTAAGAAGCTTTTCAGTACCAAAGTGCTTGTGAGTTTCAAAGTGGGATTTGACTGCCCCTCTCTAAGAAGTAAATATACTTTGATCTAAATCTCTGTCGTGATCTCAAGTCTTTTACAGCCTCTAACAGTTAATCTTTTAGGATTGTCATGTATTTGCTGTCACCCATATTTCCATCCTCTCTGACTAGTTTAAATTAAAGAGAAGTACCCCCCGTCAGTTTTAGTTGTCTGTCCATCATTGCGTATTACAAATCTAATCTAACCAAATAATCTTCTCCCTTTATTACTGAGTTTCCAACATGGCTTGTGGTACTGAAATGCCTCTTGTAAATTCCTTTCTATTCTGGGTTTGGATTTTGCTGCTTTTACATCAAGGCCAAATTTATGGAGTACATAGAAAATAGTTTAAAAACAGATTCTCCCACCTGAGCTTTGCATCTCTACAGCTCCCTGAGAGTTATCATGGTCTTCATACATGCTTCTCTAATCATGTTTCTCCTCGCCTGACTCGTCACCTTATTTCGGTTTAGATTGGTTGTGTTGCACCTTATTTTAGGTTGAAAGACAGACTATTGCTCTGTGCTTGCACAACTGTTTTAAAACTTAATGCTTTAAACTCACAACGTTTCTCATGACCTCTCTTGTACGATGCTATTTAGTTTCCTTAACAGGCTCTCTGAAAGGCATTTTCTGTGTTAGTGACAAAGTTTAAGTGAGAAGGCGCTCATTGGTACAGATACAGTCCAGACTCTGTTGTGATATGCAACATTCTTGTTTATGTCTGGTTACCACATTTCTATAAAGAAAAGCTCATCTCAGTGTGGCAGTGCAGATGTTTGCACCAGAGCTCTTATACTGTTTTGTACTCTTGTTGCTACTCAACAAAACATGTTGTTACTTTGATCTCCTCACACTTGACTTTTTGTCCTCTTGCATAAATACTTTTGAAATCAATTAGGTACACTGATACAGTGTAGCAAGCAAGCCAACCTCAGAAACAGCTGTGTTTCTGTGTTTGAAACATATTTTTAAAGCATTATGCTTAAAAATGCATATGCATCTACAATACATTCTGTGTAAATAAATCTGACCTCAAAATTGCAGCCAGAAGAAGCAAGTGGTCTTATAGTACAGAATGTAGTTATCTTTCACTTGAAAGCTACAAAACCTAACTCCAGCTGTTTTAACAAGAATTACCACATCTACATTTTTCTTTGTTTTTGGGATACATTGAATTATACCATAATGTTACTTAATCACATACTTCACTGTGCAGTTGCTTTGTTAGAACTGATTCATGCAGAATGTTGGCCTTTTCAGACATTGCTTTATTTTCTGATGGAGAAGATCCTCAAGCTTGTTCACTCTTTTACAAGCTTGCAAAAGTAACTAACTCTAACTGTAAAACACACTGTAATAGATATGCTTTTCATCCCAAAGTATCATTTTCAGGCAAACAACAATATTTTAGAAAAGTACATTTATTTTCAGACTTGAATACAGAAAGTGAAACCTGACATGCACAGGTGGTTTGCAACAGGGTGACATTTTTCTATTAAATTGCTTTATTAAATGGTCTCATGTAATATTTGTGAAACTGAGTTTTGACTTTTTATTAACTGTAGGATCATGAAAATTAAGAATAACAATGCTTGAATTACATCACTCTGTGTTCAATGAATCCATGTAATATAAATGTTTCACATTGTCTGCCGAATTAATGAATATATTAAAAGTTCAATGATATTCTTATTATTAAGAGGAACATTATATGGAGGAGAATCACACAAGAGAAACACAGTTCATATGCACAACAGAACTCAATATTGAATCGAATGTGCTTCATTCATTCATATTTGGGTTCAGCTACAGAATGTTTTGAGACACTCCGGCCTTTTGTACATAGCAAGACAAGCAAAGCTGTGACTGCTGTAGTACCATAAAACTGCTGTAGTACCATAAAACAACAAAAAATAAACCTTTGTTGAATATTTTTGAAGTGATCATTTATGTAGAAATCCACTCTTTTAATCATATGTTGATGTGATTTTTTTATTTTATTTTAAAGGCATAAATGTAATTTTTCACACCAGTTATTTTTCATGGGACCACCCTTCTCTCTATAAACACTTTGAGCTGGTTGTGTTTCAAACAGTCTGTCCAGTGCGCTATGTAACATTAATAGCTCTGTACTAGATGAGCCTTGGTGTGTTCGTGCACACAGTTTACCACTGCTATTTCCCTGGCGGAGTTTCACAAAGCTTTTTATTCTTGTCCCTCTTTTCTCTCCTCTTGCAACACCTCCCTGCATCACAGCTTTCAGACTCCTCCGCTCCTTGTTTCTCAGCTTTTTGATTGACATGCAGCAGCCTACTTCCTTCAACTGTGTCTTTTAAGCCCTGTGGTTCTCTGCACTCTATTTGCTTTTCATGTTTCCATTTTTAGAATGGCTCAATGATGGATTTATCTACTGTCTCTCACTTTCTTCGCAAGTGAGAGATTTGTTTTAGTTCCCTCATATATGACTGTGAAAGCTCACAGAATATTTCCCAATAAGCATGCTGCACTTTAGATACTTCTGCAGGACCTTAAGTAAAATCTGGTTTTACTTCAAATATAAAAACTTTGAAAAAAACGCTTTCTCTCTTACTTTGACGAAACACTAGTGAAGTATGTATTATCATTTGGAAGAATTATTTGAAGTAAAACTATCAGAACAAAAAACATGATTTGGTAATGATTTTATTCATTAAAAACAACATAGAGGCAAGTATCTTTATATGAAAACATTGTAAGTCTGCTAAGATAATGGAGGAATTATACAGACAAAACTTCATATAGTTTCATTGCCATTAATATAAGGACAGGAAGTATT